TGTCTTCGAGGGTTTCGCGTTATCCCGGTTGTGGCCGTAGTTATTTTTAGCCCGGTCGCTTAGAAACTCTCTGAGATGGCCATTTTTCAGCAATGTCGCCACCTTCTCGCATAGATGTCGACAGTCCCCAGTCCGATGGTTGTTACTCCCATGATACTCACACCAAAGATTAGGATCCCTCTAACTGGATCATATCTCATCAGCCTCAGGAACCGTGCTTCGTTAATATTCCTCATCGCCGACACTAATTCCACCGCACTAACATTGAATTTATATTCTGACAATTTGGGGTAGGTGGACTCCTGGGAGCCTGATACCTCTTTATGCTGCAATGATATGTTATTCCAGCCACAATCAACTCTCTTATCGGTAGTGAACCTGTCCACCCACTGGAAACCTCTACTGCATCCTTCGGCCCTCTTGTAGGGCAAAAACCGGCCTTTAGAAGACCGTCGATCTGTGTCGAAGTCATCCTTCAATTTTTCCTTATTCTTCACTCGGTCCCGACCCTTGGTTGAAGCCGGGAAACCGAGCTGGTCATCCTCTATTCTTATCTTTGATTCGTAGCGGTTGTGGATATCTGCCCATGTTGTTGCTTGGAACTCAAGCAGATTTTCTTTCAGTTTCCGAGAAGCGTCAGAGCTCCTCGGGTTCATCCCCTTAGTAAATGCCCCAGCTGCCCATTCATCTAGCACGACCGGTAGCAGCATCCTTTCCTTCTGGAATTAGTCACGAACTCTCGCAGCAATTCGGACTCTACTTGCGCAATTCTGAATATATCGGCCTTTCGAGCCTGCACCTTCGTGATCCCGGTACGGGCCTTGATAAAAGAATCTGCGAGCATCTATAGAAGAATCCGCGAGCATCTCAATGGAATCTATAGGGTGCTCAGGTAGAAGTGAATACCGTGTCAGGGCTTCCTTTGTGAGGGTCTCCCCAAAATTCTTCAACAAGACTGACTTAATCTCGTATGGAGCTAACTCGTTTCCCTTCACCGTCGTTGTGTAGGTGGTGATGTGCTCCTGTGGGTCTGAAGTCCCATCATATTTAGGCATGTCCGGCATTTTGAATCGCTTCGGAATTAACTCCGGCGTCACGCTCGGTTTGAATGGCAACTAGGTGTATTTCTTTGAGTCCAGTCCTTTCAACATTGGCGATGCACGGGATTTGGTCCATTCAGGTGTTTATTTCCCTTATAAACCGCATGAGTTCGGTTTTAAAGGGATCATTTTCGTTATTGCTACCAGATCTGTTGCAGTTCCCCCCGGCCCCGTCAAAGACGACCTCACCCATTGAGGTGTGTTATCAACCCTTTGTGCTGTTTGATTTGCGGGAGCATCGGGAAGAACTGGAGCTCTTCCGTTCTCGTTATTGGAAGCACCCAAAAATGCTTGCCTCAACTCTGTGATGGCCTGATCTTGTCGCGAGAGATGGCCCGTAATACCCTTTTTTTTTGTTCCCTCAATATTCTCACCGTTTCCGCAATGTGCTCGTCTTCAGCATCATCAGGAGTTATCTCCCGAATGTGTCGTGGATATTGCCCGTCATGGAGCGGCGTGGCTACATCCTCCTCGTTGCGGTATTAGTGATCGAATCTTCGATTGGATCTACTTAATTTTTCTACTTAATGATTGGATCTACTTAATTAAACAAATGATTGGATCTACTTAATTTTTCTATTATATTAGTTTCTACATTTTTTCTTGGAAGAATAATTGGGAAAATGTCAAAATTAGACCCATCTATTATTGTTTACCCGTAAAACGGCACAGTTGAATTTATAACATGGTTTATAGGCAAGATAATCGATTTGATCCCAAAATAATAAATAAATTAAATAAAATGCAAGACTTAGCATTAAAATCGAGATAAGACAGCAAATAGCTTGGTTCCGAGATAGAGCTTCCGAAGGCAGTAATAAGAATATTAATAGACAAGAAATAACGTTTTATTGAGCTTTTGAATAATATATAGCATAAGTTTGTCAGAAAATTCGTGTAATTTACAATGGTTGTTGAAGTCACTATTTATAGTTGCACCTAAGCAACAAGGTCCTAGGATCAAGCCTCTCTTAAATGACAATTAAGGAGGCCATTGATGAATGTGTAACGGCGGGCTATGCATGCCAAAATTCTCTATAACGGATTGTGTATTTAATACTAAAAGACATTCCTCGTTGAATGCCATCGGGTGGCAAACATTATTCGTTTGTCTTCATTAGCAATATTTCCTCCGGGTTCTTTCGGGTGCCAACCGAAGTTGTTGTCCCCGATCTTGGTTTATACTTGCCTCGCTTTTTGTCTGTCTCTGGTTCCACGTGTTGCTCTATTATTCGAGTATATAATACGAACCGATTTTACCCTATACAATTATTGAAAATATTTTAAAAGTTACAAGTATGCAAATCATTTCATATTTGTCGTGATTCTAACGGAACTCCGGCATGGACCGGAAAGCGTTGAACCCAATCAACATCTTGACACGATGATTCACATGCCAAAATATTTCGGAAAGTAGTTTGATTAAAATGAAAACTCAAATATTTTTGGGAAGGTAAAGTAGGAACGCAGCTTACTTTTTCAACACATTTGACTTTCGATCTTTCAGCATCCCAAAGGGAGATAGTTTTCCATTGGACGATCTATGTCAAACAGTCAAAATAAACACGATTGTTATCCTATATTTCCGCCCAGTAGCTAATTAGTTACTACATGATTTTAATTTACACATCTTTGACATGATAAAACACGCAATTAAAACTTTATACTACCCTTGTCCCTAATGTACAATCCATCCTGGCGTAGAGTAGTTTCTATGCCTTTACCCTTTTTTGAGTCAACTAGTTTGGTTTGATTATTTAAGTCTACTTACTAACTATATTTGGTCAAAAGTAACAATGTGTACCTGGTCCTCCTCAAATTTATTTCAATGGTAAATAAAATGTTGGTCATTTCCGAGGCCAGTTATTACAAATATAAGAGGCTAGTTCTTGTATCTTTTTTTCCAAAGTCATTTGAGCTGTACTGTAGTCAGGGTATAAAAAAGAAACCGACAAATCGCACCAATCCGATAATTCAAGTCAAATCGAGAAAAGAAAAACCCGACTATGGTTTGGTATTGGAAAAAAAACCCGACCATAATTGGTTTGATTTGATTTGGTTTTAACTAAAGAAAGTCAAGCCGAAACCAAACCAACCCGACATTACATATATAATTTTTTTTAGATATATCTAATATATAAATATACTTATTGTGATGTAATTTATGAATATTTCTTAAACTTTTTCATAATTTTATCTTTTAAGGTATTCTTGTTTCAAGGTTGGACTTAGAACTTTTGAATACTCCAATAAGTTTTACAACCATTAATATTAATAACTTAAATAATGTTAACAAAAGCTCAAACCAAAATCAAATCAATACTAATGCTAACAAAAGACATTCAAATTCAATACTAGGAACAACAATATATTGAATATCTATTTTTTGTTTGGCAGCGATTTATATAAAAATGCATAACCTGTTTTTACTTTTTCTTTAGCGTTTAGTCATGTTATTAATACTCCCTTATTAATCTACTTATTTTAGCATGACTTAGTACTTTTAGATTATGTTTATTTTTATTATGACTTTTAATTAGCAATATTTATATTACATAATTTTATTGCCTTTATTGATGAATATTTTAGGATAATTCCATGATACATCTCATATTTTGTATTATTTTCTTGAAAAATATCTAATATAGTTGTATCTTACTAGGATTAAAGAAATATTTTGAGCACAAGTTATATGTTTTGTGCTATGAAGATTATACCGGAAAAAAATGAGGAAAACCCGAGAAAAATCGAGATTGAAAAACCCGAGTTTTATTGGTTTGGTTTGGTCTTTAAATTTAATAACCCGACACAATTGGTTTGGTTTGATAATTACAAAACCCAAACGAACCCAACCTGTGTACACCCCTAGTAGTCAGAAACAAACCTCAGCTCATATGATTGTCCGAACCTGGTTCAAGAATTGAAAATATTCTTAACCACCGATAAGATTGAAGTTTATCCGAAACCATTATAAATTAGGAGAATTTGCTCTATTATTATGAGCTAAAGGGTGTGTTTGGCATAAAGGAAAATATCTTCCAACAAAATATTTTTTTTGAAAAACAAGTAATAATCTTATTCATTTTCCGATGTTTGGTACGCAAATTAAGGAAAATAACTTCTCAAGAGTAACAATTTAAATACAATAAACATGAAGCCATAAATTTCGAAACAACAACCTTCCGAACCCACAAATTTCACAAACTTTCGAACCACTAAACTTTCGAAACCGCAAACTTTCGAACCCGTACACTTATAATTTCTAAACCCGTAAACTTTCAAACACACAAACCTCCGAACTCATAACTTTAGAACTTGTAAAATTTTGAACCTTTAAACCGAAAGATAAAAAAACTAAAACTGAAAATATATAAAAACAATAATATTTTTTTTCCAGGAGGGGGGAGGGGGAGGGGGGAGGGGGGAGGGGAGGGGGCAGGGGCGGAGGGGGGAGGATGTGCAAAAAAACGAAAAACAGAAATTTGAAATTACAAAAAAAAAGTTAAAATAAAACTTTTGTGCGCGAGGGGGGGGGGTGACAGAAAAAAATTAAAATTCGAAAAAAAACCTTTTTGGAGAGAGGGGTAGGGTGGGTAGGCATGGGGTGGGGTTGGGTGGGTGGGTGTGGGGGTGTGGGGTGGGTTGGTGATGGTGGAAAAGGTTGAGAAGGAGTTTTGGAAAATGTTTTCCCTTTTCTTGATAAGGAAAACAGTTTCCTCCAATTGGAGGAAAATTAATTCATAAGGAAAATATTTAAGCCAACCTAACATGGAAAAATTGGAAAACAACAACAATAACCTAGTAAAATCCCACTAATGGGGTCTGGGGAGGATAGTGCGTACGCATACCTTACCCTACCCCGAAGGAAAATCGGAAACATTTTCCGGAAAATATTTTTCTTCATACCAAACACGCCCAAATAACTTCTGCTACTGTAGAAGCAAGACTTCTATACTCAGCCTCAGCTGAACTTCTTGAAACTGTGGTTTGCTTTTTTGACTTCCATGTTGTTAGTGAGTAACCAAGTTTAATCAAATAACCTGAGATTGATTTTCTAGAATTTGGACAGGCTGCCCAATCAGCATCACAATATGCTGACACTGTGTTGTTGTATATGCTGGAGAGTAGAATGCCTTGCCCAGGTTGATTTTTGATATACCTCACAATTCTTAGGGCTGCTTCCATGTGAGACTTATTAGGCTTTTGCATAAATTGACTAAGTGTTTGTACACTGAAAGAGATGTCTGGTCTTGTCATTGTAAGATATAGAAGTTTACCTATCAACCTTTAGTATGGAGCATGATCCTTTAGTTCTTCATCTAAGAGAGTAGTGGGATCAGTCTTCTTGATATGTTCATTATACTCTTTGGTGGTAAGTTTTATGTTGAGGTCCTGATGAGTTGTTACTGGTTTAGCAGTTGCAAGGCCAGTTTCAGAAATAAGTTCTAATGTATATTTCCATTGATGTATTATTATTCCTTGTTTAGATCTAGCGAACTCTATGCCTAGGAAGTATTTTAGTTCTTTTAGGTCTTTCATTTTGAAGGCTTGTTGTAGGCTTGTTTTGGTTTCTACTATTAATGTTAGACAATCACCTGTGATAAGCATATCATCTACATCGACAAGTACCACAGTAATACCTTCTGAAGTTCTTTTGAAGAACAGAGAATGATCATGTTGACTCTGCTGAAATTGTGAATTAGTCAAAGCCTCTGTTAATTTTGTGTTCCATTGTCTTGGAGCTTGCTTTAATCCATACAAGGATTTTACAAGTCTACAGACTGGTCTATTCTCCCCCTGACTTGTGAAACTTTAAGGTAGTTTCATATAAATCTCATCAAATAAATCTCCTTGTAGAAAAGCATTATAGACATCCATTTGGTGAATATGCCAATTCTTAGTTGCTGCTAAAGCTAGAACTATCCCGATAGTTTTCACTTTCACTACTGGCAAAAAAATTCCTTGGTAGTCTATACCTTCTTTTTGACTGAACCCTTTTGCTACTAGTCTGGCGTTAAACCTCTCTACTTCACATGTGGCTTTGCACTTTACTTTGTAGATCCATTTGCAGCCTATAGGAGTTTTGCCTGCTGGTAAGGGAACTATGTACCAGGTGTGATTGTTTTTCAAAGCTTCAATTTCAGCTTTCATTGCATCAATCCACCTAGGATCCTTTGCAGCTTCAGAATAGGTAGTTGGTTCAATTATATTTGATGCTGATGCTATGTAGGCTTTGTATTTGGGTGTGATGTTGTCGTAAGTAAGAAACTTTGATAATTCATAAGGTTCATCTTGATGAATATTAAGAGATACAAAGTCTTTCATCCATATAGGTGGTTTCTTACCTCTGTAGAATTTTCTAAGTTCTAACTCTGCTGGAAGAATAGTTGATGTAGTATGAGACTGTTGAATCATTGGTGTTTGTGCAATTACTGTCTGTTGAACTAATTGTTGTGGTGGTTCTGATGTGAGAGGATCCTGTAGTTGTTGAGTTGATGGTGCTTTTGTGATCAAGTCTTGTTGAGAGGTTGACTCAGAGAGTGATGAACTAGTTGATTGTGTATTCTGCTAATTGTGTATGCTTGCTTTAGGATTGAGCAAGTTGCCAGGACTTGTGTATAATGATGATTGACCTTCAGTAAGATATGGATTATATAATGATTGATTGCTTCTTTGAGGAGCAAATATAGGTTGACTTTTGCTCTGTTGGCTTTTAAATGGGAAACAATCTTCCTTACAGATGACATCTCTGTTGACGTAGTTTTACCCAACTAGGTCGGGATCGAATCTAAAGGGAGGTAATTTATTTGGAATTAGGTTTATATCTAAGTCTAGATGCGGGTTTTGCTTTTATACACTTCCACAAATGTTGGGTTTGATTCTACTTCTAACTCTAGTCTATTGTATGCAATATTTGAAAATAAGTATAATGTTTTTGTTGTTGATTTTCAAGGGTTTAAAGAGACTAGGGTAGTGACTTCTACCTAGGTGGATATCTAACGGGTAGCAAGAATCTAGGGCAAGCTTGTGATTAGAATGGAGTTGTAATATAGCTATCACACCCAAGTACTCACTCTATACCTCTCGGTAGTTTGAGTAATTTTTCCCAATTTGACTTTCTCAAGTCCAAATGGGTATTCATGCAATTCAAGTGATATTAGCTCAAGTCGGGTATTACTATCTCTAGGTTTAAGCCTTTAATTGGGGCTATCAATTTCTTGAGTTCACCCCAATTCCTTGTTATCCTAGTTTTCCTAGACTTAGTCCCTTTCTCAAGTAGAGACTAAGTCATAAAGGCGTGAATCAGTGTTTGCAACCACTAATTCTATTGTTCTAGCAAGAACTAGGTTAAATATCACTAACCCATACACATTCAAGCCCTAAAATTTAATACCCATCAAATACCCACACTAGGGTTGGGTCCCAACCCCAGCTATGGGTCTAGCTACTCATGGAAATAACAGAAATCAAAGATGAAAAGAAGAAAAAATTCATAATACTAGATTAAAGGATGAAAATCTAATGTTAAAAGATGACTCTAGTACAAAATTTCCAAAAACAGTAAACTCAGCCGTCTCAGGTGCTCCTCTATTACATAACATAACCTAAAAATGAGAAAAAGTTCTATTTATACTAAGCTGAAATTTTCGGACAAAAATACCCATGCAGAGGTTGTGCGGCCGCGTAATTCTGAGCGTGGCCATATTCTTGCTTCCGCGGCCGCGTAATTCTGATCGAGGTCCCGTTCTTAAGATCTGGATCTAGGTTGAGCAGAGTTTTACGGACCGCATAGTTTCAATCGCGGCCGTGAAAGGGACTTTTGCAGCCGCACAATTCTGGCGTGGACCGCACTTCTTTCTTTTGCTCAAGTTGTGAGCTCTTTGATTTTCATGCATCGCAGTCCGCATAAATTCCATCGCAGCCGCAGAGAGACTTTCGCGGCCGCACATTTCTGGTGCGATATGCGCTTATCATTTAGACTAAAAATGCAACTCTCTGAATTTCCCTTTCGCGGACCACGTATATCTTATCGCGGCTGCGTTGTGGTTTTCGCGGCCGCACAATATTTATGCGCTCCGCGTTTCAGATCTCTCGGCCCAATCTTGGTTTTTGTTCATGTTTTGACTCCTTTATGAGTTGATTATGATTCCCTTGGTTCATTTTGAACAATTCCTACAAGCAAGCACATTACATTAGTTTCCAGGAATACCTTCACACATTTTTGGGCTAAAACACAAGTAAAAGAGAGCAAATAATAGGTTAAAATCCCTACTTATCAACTCCCCAAAACTTAAGTGTTTGCTTGTCCTCAAGCAAATAAGGTAATTCCCACCTACATTAAAACAGAAGGATATTTCAGCTGCCCTAAGGTGAATCAATCATGCATCAATTGGGACTAATAATTACCCTCAACACAAATGAATTATCAACAACAGCATGCTTTGACTTTTTGATTACCATAGCTCTGATGTGATACTAGAGCATCAAGAGTTGAATTAACTCACCAAGGAAGCTCTCTCTATTACTTAGGTCATTGTGGAACCCAAACTCATCCTCCTCTACTATCCCTAAGCAAATCTCACTTTAGAATGTAACACTCAAAACAGGGATTGTGAAGAAGTACGTCATCTCTCTCAAAAGAATGTCACAAGTCCGGCTCTAAGTACCATAAGCTTGCCCCTTATCTAAATCACCACTAGTGTAAGCTCACTCAACTAGAAATCATATAGGGCTTTTGCGGGGATGTAATGAAGGCTTTTGGACCAAGGTAGGACTTATCGACATATGATGGTTTTATCTTTCCTTAAGCACTCCATTTTCTCATTTCGGCTCATACTTTCTTGACTCTTTGAGTCATTTTCTTCTTCCTTAGGGGGACTAGAAAGACACACTGTCACTCTTTCTTGCTCATGACAATTATTTTTCTCCTTTTCTAATCATTCCATGCCTTTCATCATTGCTTTCTTTGAATCCCTTCAATTTTCACTTTCTTTTTGACATATTTCTTTTTGGCCCCTTTCTTTCTTTTCTTTGCCTTCCCTTTTCTTCATTTCTTTTTGTTCTTTGTACCTTTTATCACTTTCATATTCCTCGTCTCTCCCCCAAACTTATTCTTTTGCCAATTGTTTACCAAGAATGCCAAGAAAAGATCGGGTTCCAAGAGAGGATCACTATAGAACGGATAAAGGCTTGTAACGTGGTTATTGAAAGAAAAAAGGCTTCGGCTAAAAGGGATTGACTAGGGATATCATATTGGTAGGCTACGGAAGCTTTCAAGTTTCAAATTGGATCAAGGAGATCCTACAATCATTTCTCAAGTCGAGCTACACTTACAGTTTCGCCTAGACAGACATTCAGGGCAAGTTCTAGACTTATTGGCACGGAACTTGGAGTTGTAATTCAATACCTCAGCTCTCAAGTTGCTGGATTGTTAAAGAGACAGAGTCGAGGTCCCACAACAACCCTAGCTAAGATTGAACATCACAAATGGCTCAAAGAAATCACTCGTGATTGTTTTAGTCAACAAAAGAGTCTAAAGGTCACAACTAGAGCTATTCTTTGCCAATCACTTGTTTCTAACTATAAAGTCGAAGGTAAGTGCGTTAGTACCAAGTGAAGCCTGCTTGAGACACTTTTATTCATTGCTACTATTTACACCAAAACATAAATGGACTCAATCCCTTAAGAAGATTGTCACGCCATCCATCGTTGGGAAGAGCCACCCGGTTCATACAACATCCACCTTTGGAAAGAACCGTGGCAGTAAAAAAACCGAAGGCTTATTCTCAACATAAAACTTAAAAAAGAAGCTAACAAATAAAAAAGAAGCTACTAAAGGAAATAAGAAACTATGCTATTAAGGTAAAATAACGAAAGAAGTTATAGAGTAAACTACGGAAATTGAACTGAATATATACAAACTTAAGGTAAAGCGAATATATACATAAATGGAAATGAATATATACATCAAATGGTAAAAATATCAACATACCAAAAGTTAAAATAACGAATATATACATACCAAAAGTGAAAATAAAGATAAAGAAAAATAGTGTAATGGTTATTACATACCAAATGTCATCAAATAAAAATGTACCACCCCCCAAATGAAAGATAGCATTGTCCTCAATGCTAATAACAAATAAGAACAAGGAAAAGGGGGTAGAGAGTAAAGAAAACTCCCTATGTGATCTCTGTCTGCATTGGGTCCTCAACCTGAACAGGGTCCTGAACATCCTCTAATTGTATCTCGATATTCTCTGACTGGGGGACTACGGGGTTGCTGAGCATCTGAATCAGCTCCTCAGCAGTGTGTGATGCTGCAGCTGGCTCCTCAGAGTGGCCGGCCGCTGCCCCTGGTTCCTCGGGCTCTGCTACATGTGATGCTGGGACTATCTCCTCCATGAGAAGGTCCATAGGTAAATCTCCCGCATGTGCAATCTTCTCAACCTCTTTGCTCAACTTCTTGATCGACTCCTTTTGAGTCTTTTGTAGTTTCTTCACCTGCTTCCCCAAATTCTAGATTACCTTCCCATGTGTATCAAGAGTCTCCCGGAACTTCTTCTGGTTGTCCAGAATCTTCTTCAATGAGTCCGCCACTGATTGAGGTACCTGAAGCTCTGCTGGGACCAAAGACTATGCTGCCACTGCACTGGATATGGCAGACAGCTTTGTGGTAGCTGCTTGCATCCAATTGTTGAGACTGGCTAGTGTCTGGGAAACCCTCAGTGCAGTCTGAGGGTAGGTAGAAGATGAAGACATTAACAGTGGCATTGAAGATGTAGGAGGCATATTTTCTACTCCGGTAGAAGTACCGGTTGCCGTGGAGGGCTCGGAAACTGATCCAGTGGCCACTACCCCTGGCTCTTAAGACTGGCCAGTGGAGGTAGTGGCTTTACCCTTGAATTTAGGGTTTTCCGCTCCCTGGAGGTGATACCATGAGAAACGCTTTTTAGCCTTCACCTCCACATCAAAATGTCTCGGCTCAACCCCTTGGTCTTTGAAGTACTTAGTGAGGAAGTTGGGGTAGGGATAAGATCTTTCTTCTTTCTGGATTGCGTTGGAGATGTTGTAGTCAAGTTCCCTACATTAATAGGATATCCTGCCATGATGGAAGCTACCAATACTGCTCGGGAAAGTGGAAGGACATTTTCATGCTGGCAAGGGTTAAGACGGCTGCACACAAATGTTTGCCACCCTTTTGCTTCAAAGTTGAGGGTGTTTCTGACTATTGGCACTCCTATTGTGAGCCATACAAGTGTTATCCCCGGAATAGCAAGAAACTCAACTAGCCATGGGCGAACTGCCTCACCTAAGGCTAGCTTCTCCAAGTATTGCACCACCTCAACCTCCTCAACCCCTACATATGTGTTCAGTTCTTGGCCATCAAACCGGATTTTCAAGTTCCGGACCTTCGTCACTTTTGTACCCTTTTTATATGGGCAACGTTGTCATAAAACTCATTCACGAGGTATTCATTGGCATCATGCGGATGGTTGGAGAACCATTTCCATCCTTTTCTCTCCTAGAATTGCTTTAGAACATTTGGATTGTGTTGGCTCAGGTCTTTGGTTATGAATTGTCACTCAAGAGTTACCGACCTTTAGGTCCACCATTCCCAAAATTTTGCATAAGCTTTCTCACTGACAAACCTATCAGCCCACACCTTCGAGTTCCTTGATCGATCCAGGCTCCCACAATTGTATCACCCCCTCTCCCGTCATCCGGGACTTCATCGTCGTCATCTCAATTGATTGGAGCTGAGGGAGCATGTGCGGAAGAGGGTTCAGAATCTTCTATACGCTCTTCCGAACCCCAGATGAACCCTCAGAGGAGGAGGACTCATCAACCAAATGCAATCTCCCCGGGAATTGTTTAGACTGGACTTCCAGTTGTGCTTGCCCGGAGTTTCCTTCAGAAGCCTCCTCAGATGGGACATACTTACTAGTCTCAGAAGTGTCCAGGTCTCTATTGGCGGTTGCTTTCTTGCCGATTACTTTTTGAACTTACAGAGGTATGTTGGGTTTGCCTCGATCCCAGCCTCGGGAGGGTTCTGCCCTCCCTTTGGAAGTATCACCTCGACCTCGGGAACACACCATTGTCTGCAACACACAAGTAGTGAAAGTCAGTTAGACTTGGGGTTCAACATGTGTTAAAGCATTACAGATGAAATGAAAGACAGTACTTCTCAGAATAGGGCAGCGCGGACCGTACAAAAGTGAGTGCGGCCGCCAACTGCCCATCACGGTCCGCGTAAAAGTGAACACGGCCGTGAAGAGACCAGGATCAGACTACTGGCTCTCTAAAGTTGATCAGCCGCGTACTGCACAAAAATGAGTGCGACCGCAAAAGACCCATCGTGGACCGCACAATTTTGTGTGCGGCCGCAAAAACAAATGACTGAGTCTCTGAAGTTCAAATGTGCGGACCACACAAAATTTAGTGCGGCCGCGAAAGATCAATCACGGACCGCATAAAAGTGACCGCGACCGTAAAATCTAAGCAAATAGCAGTGCCTTGGAACTAGGGTATTGCGGTCCGTACAATTTTGTACGCGGCTGCATACCCTATCGCGGACCACAAAATAATGTGTGCGGCCGCGAAGTTCAAATTAGTTCAGCACTAAAGAAAACTCGTTACTAGGGCTTTCACTAATTATACAAGATTTATGGAAATTAACCATGCAAAGCTACTAACCTCAACCCCCATTATGCATTTTAACACTACCCATATGATTCTAAGCAAGATTTAAGCATCATTTTGACATTATGGCATGAATCTAACCCTAACTAAAAAGGAAAATTAAAACAAAGTGAATAGAAAAGAAAAAAAAATTGAAATTGATTCATTGAAATGAACATACCAGTAGTAAAATGTAGTAGGAATCTAATACTTGATGAGTAAAAGATAAGATTGAAAACAATGAAGTGTACTGTGCTCAAGGCTTGTTTGAGAGGTCAGAGTGAGTAAAGTGTGAATAGTTTCAAGAAGTCATATTTATACTATGACCACAGTGACCCATCGACTTACCTGAGTGCGGCCGCAAAATTTTGTCACAGTCCGCACTCTTTACCTGTTTGTAGCTCAGTTGGACAAGGTCCGCAAAAAATTGGCAGCGGCCGCACAAGTTGTGCGGTCCGCGGGATTATGAACACGGCCGCAAACTCTCATGGACTTTTGACAGGCAAACTTCAAAGAGTTGGCAATTTCCATCATCCAGCTGTGCGACCGCGCACAGATTTGTGCGGCCGCGAAGTGCTTGTGCGGTCCGCATAATTTTGGGCGCGGTCCACAAAATTTCACCACTTAGCCAACTTTTTCCTTGTCAATTTCCTGAGCTTCACAACCAACTCCTACACACACTTCACAACCAGTTAGTCCAAAACAATGCCTAATCTAAGAAGAAAATCAAAAGAAAGGAAAACACATGGGTTGCCTCCCAAGAAGCTCCTGATTTAACGTCGCGGAGTCACATGCACCACTTTAAGGGGATCGCTCCACTTTGACTTTAGCTTTCTCGAAAACATCCGTAACCGAGAGTTGAATAAGAGAACAAGGTCACATTCATTAAATTATTTGTTCCGGATATACTTATCATGTAGGTACTTCATCTTGTCCTTATACAAGGACGAACTGGAGTAAGCATGGAACCGGAACTTATCAAGTTCATTCAATTGCTCCACTCGAAGATTGGCGGCTACATCCCACTCAAGGTTCAACTTCTTCAATGCCCACATGGCCTTATGCTCTAATTCCACCGGGAGGTGACATGCTTTCCCAAACACCAACCGATACGGATACATACCAATTGGAGTCTTGTAAGTTGTTCTATAGGCCCATAAATCATCGTCAAGTTTCCTTGACCAATAAGTCCAGTTTGCATTGACAGTCTTGGATAGAATACTCTTGATCTCCCTGTTGGAGACTTCAACCTGTCCACTTGCCTGGGGGTGATAGGGGGTTGACACCTTGTGAGTGACACCATACTTGGAGAGTAAAGTGTCAAAGGCTTTGTTGCAAAAATGAGAACCCCCATCACTAATAATGGCCCCTGGGGTGTCGAACCTTGTGAATATGTTTTTCGTCCAGAAAGCCAAAACACTCCGTGCTTCATTGTTGGGCAGAGCCACAGCTTCAACCCATTTGGAAACGTAATCCACAGCAACAAGAATATAGGTGTTCCCACACGAACTCACAAATGAACCCATAAACTTGATACCCCACACATCGAAAATATCAATCTCAAGGATGGTGGTGAGAGGCATCTCATTCTTCTTGGAAATTCCATTGGTCCTTTGGCAATCATCACACCGCTTAACAAGCTCGCTAGCGTCTTTGTACAAGGTAGGCCAATAGAATCCACAACTTAGGACCTTTGTAGCAGTTCTCGCCCCACCATGGTGACCACCATAGGGTGAAGAATAACAAGCTTCAAGAATACCCAATTGCTCTTCTTCTGGAACACATCTCCTGATAACACCATCAGTGAAAATTTTGATAAGATATGGCTCGTCCCAATAATAATCCAAGCAGTCCCATTTGAGCTTCTTTATTTGGTTTGAAGAGAACTCATTCGGGACAATTCCGCTCACAAGATAGTTAGCCATATCGGCGAACCAAGGCATCCCGTTCCAAGACATGGAAAGGAGTTGTTCATCCGGAAATGAATCATTGATCTCAAGGCCATCATGGGGCCTCCCCTCCTCTTCCAAACGGGACAAGTGGTCCGCCACTTGATTCTCACTCCCTTTTCGGTTTATGATTTCAAGATTAAATTCTTGTAGATGAAGTACCCACCGCATCAATCTAGCTTTTGAGTCCTTTTTACTCATCAGATAATGAAGCGTCGCATGATCGGTGGGAACAATCACTTTGGTACCCATGAGGTTGTGATGACCCAAAAGGTCATCACTTGTTTTTAAATTAAATTCTACGTCTTGAGGCCTTAAAAACCTCTTTTAGCATCACCTCAATTTGCGTGCGCAGACCGCGCGCGTAGCCGAAAAGCCTATATGTGAAAATCTATGAAAAATGATAAATTTTGACTATACAATGAATTAATTTGACTTCGGTCAACGTTTTGGGTAAACGGACTCGGACCCGTGATTTGACGATCCCGAAGGGTCCGTAGGAAAATATGGGACTTGGGAGTATGCCCGGAATCGAATTCCGAGGTCCCAAGCCCGAGAAATGAATTTTTGAAAGAAATTATTTTCTGAAAAATATGAAGGTTTTTGAAAGTGAAATGTTATGTGAAACCTGAGATATCGGGCCCGTATTATGGCTCCGGATCTCGGTACAGGTTCAATATGATTTATATGTGTTGTCGGTAAAGTTTGGTAAGAAACGGAATCCATTTGACGTGATTCGGACCTTAGATGCAAAATTTGATGTTTAAGAAGTTTTGAGAAATTTCA